TATGATTTGTTTTATATACTTTCAGGTAAATCGCACTTCGCGAGCTGTGTCGTCGAGAGTAGGCATTTCTCAGTCAACTGAGTTCTGGCGAAGGCAGTTGGTGGCGAATGGCATTCGAATGGCATTCGGATGAATGCCATTTTGTTCGCCCGTGTGGCACCGCGCGAATGGCAATAAATCTGAAGGCATTCGGAGGTAAATGCCATTTTTTCTGCCCGTGTGGCACGGGTATACTTCCATCCCAAAACACTCGCACAAAAAACACAGTGAAGTAAAAAACGCTACAATATTCCAGAATGCCTTCTGTCAATTATCATTAACAATGTTAAAAATGGCTAGGTATCTCTGTAATATATCACACATGGTTAGGTATTGGCAAAGCTAGTCATGATTAAGTATGACAGTAGGAAATGACTTGATTGCACTTACGGCATTAAATTCGAGAAGACAATAAACTAAGGTTACAAAAACATATTAAAACAAAATAATCAGTCAATAATACAGTGAAAATAATATCGTTGATCTGCTACAGCCTTATTGCAATACAAAAAGTTCAATTTTAAGTGACGAACTGCAGATTACACAAAGATTAAACATGACATGAAATCTTAGGAAGCAGCACCGACACATTCAGAGACGGGCTTTGTGCTTGCAATAAAATTTAGCCCCAAAAACAGAAAACCACCTTTGCAGATAAGTTATGTTTCTAGGGGGACACAAAGTAAAACGATAATGCTGTTAGCCGCCCAATCAGCTAAGAATCATGAAATTTGGGTGCCTACGCACCTGACGCACCACGTATTGTGCAGGGCCGTTCCGGCTGCGGTGCGCTTCATAAGAATTTCATGTCCGTGAAAATTCACAGAACAGTAATCGAGAAACTTGCCGAGTTTATTTATCGTCTTTACATATTTCGCGGCCTCGACTTGAGCAAACATATTGATCCGTGTACTTGACAGGTACATAACGGCGTTGTCCCCTGCGTGTAGTTGAAGAATTATCACAGGCGTAGTGAGAATGAGTGTTGCCGAGATCTCCCTCTTCGTATATTTGTTATGTGTGAGGAGGATTTGTGGCTATCTATTTTTACAACGCACATTTGCATATGATACCCTAGCGCTTTTTGCAGAACTGGGTCAGTCTTTTTTTGAAATTATAAATTAAATATGTCCTTCTTGCAAATTAAAAATGTACACGCGTGACGCAGACTGCTGAATAGCGATAGCATTTTGCAAATTAGTCGCATTCCTACCGTTCTTATACCTCATACTTTGATGAGGTTCTCAAAGCTAGAGCTATGTGTCAACAAGGCTCCCATGTTCATTTCTGAGCCCCTCTTACAGACACTGCAACATCCTTTGTTGTGACCGCCGCTTTTAAACATGCGGGAAGTGTCCAGACGAACCGTGCACGAAGGCAGCTTTTGCACCGGCTGTGGCAGTTGTCCCCTGATAAAATAGGGCGGTAGTATGCTTTTGGCTGGAACGGCTGGGCGGAGCCTGCGTGCTACGATGTCGCTACAACAAACCTACATATGTTGAAGGTGCCTATCGCTGTTTAAAAAACTGGAGTAGGTCTACACTAGGAGACTGTCTGGGTTGTCGTAATTATCATCATCACTCACACTGGGCCCACTGCAAGGCAAAGGCCAGTTAATCCGGTAACTTGCTTTCTGCTGCCATGTTATACCTGCAAACTTAATCTCATCTGCCTATCTAACTTACTGTCTCCCCCTCATACACGTGCCATTAGTATTACCCTCAGTATGCCTTAGGAGCTGGCCCCAGTGAAAGCGCTTTTCAACAGCTACTCTATTTATACTGGGTGGCCAAAAGCAACTGATGAACGTCCCAGCTCTCCCTCTGCAGGGGCCAGGTGGTGAACCATTTTATACTTCATCTCAAAAGTTCTCCATATCACTGTGAAGGTTACAGTGCCCCTTAGCCAATAGAAAGTGTGATTAGCTACTCCACATGCAGTGTCCCTCCACATGCAGTACCCCCCCACATGCATCACGTCGCATGCTCAGCATCTCCCTGGCATCTGCTCGCACGCATGGGGGGAGAAAAACAAATACAGTCAACTCCTCTTAAACGGAACTCGAAGTGGATCCATAAAACTGTTCCATTTATCAGAAGTTTCATTTAAGCAAAGTACACTTATTTAGTGAATCAAAACCTTTATTCAAATTGCACAAACCTCACATTACTCATGAGGATGAGTAGGAGAAAAAAAGGAGTGAAGGGTGCTTTGTTCGGCAAGCTTGAGTTGTTTTTTCACAAGGTACACACCCATGCCTGACAAACTAGCCAGAAACTCTGGACAAGCTTCATGCTCAAAATAGCGCTGCAAAAGTTCAACAGGCTCTTCAGCTGATCGGTCTGGTGGCACCACTGCACTGGCAATATTGTCATCGCATTCATCTTTGAAAGGTTGATCCTCATCTTGCACTTCGGCAATCATTTCCTTGACAGTCGCCTCATGGCAGGTACAAACATTTTCATCAATTGATTCGTAGTCCTGTAGCGTGAAAGGGGCAGAGGGCACGACCTCACTGAATACTGCCCCAGTGTCGGCATCAGCAGGGCTTTCTTAATCAGGTACTGCTTTTTGCACTTGAAAGCCAGCATGATGAAAGCATCTGTGTATTGTTGTTGCCTTCACTTGCTCCCAGGCACGTGCCAAAGTGTAGGTGGCTGGCAATAAATCTATGCTGTAGCATTTCCCACTGCACAAAGCAGTATTCGAGGAAGCAATTTTCTGCGGTAAAACATTAATGTTCTCAATAACCTCTTAATTTATCGGCTGGATCACTGCCGTTGCATTGGCTGGCAAGAACTCCAGAGTGAGGGCTTGGAGTCTTTCAACTTGACCATGGGCTGGGCAATTATCCATGATGAAGACAGCCTTCCTGCTTTGCCTCGTAAATTATGCGTCTTCCTCCCGTAGCCAGTTTTCGGCCATGGTCATCCACCCTCTTCCGTTCGCATGGTACGCAGCGGGAAGTCTCAAACGTCTTTGAAACAACGTGGTTGCCTTGATTTTCTTATTACCAACATCTTCAATTTCTCATCTCCTGCCATGTTTGCACCCACCAGCACAGTGATGCGATCTTTACTGCATTTTCCTCGACTACAGGCTTCGCCTTTGAAGTTGAGAGTCCTTGATGGAAGCACCTTATAAAAACGACCCATCTCGTCAAAGCTCAAAGCTCATCAAAATTTCCTTGCGCCACTCCTGTTGCCAGTCGATGCAAATGTCCCCGTTGACTGCAGTACTTTCACCTGAGATTGCTTTGAAGACTAGGCAATGGCATATTTTGAAGCAGCTGAGCCATCTGTCGCGTAGGACGAAGTTCTCAACACCCATTTGCGTGGCGATCTCTCTAGCTTTCTGCTCGAGAATTGGTCCGCTTATGGGCAAATCGGAACTCTATGCACGCTCGAACCAAAGAAAAAGAACTTTTTCTAGTTGTTCATAAGGCGTCTTCCGCATTCGTATCCGTTTAGATCTAAAGGTCCCGTTCTTTACAGTGCCTTCAATCTTTTCCCAGTCTTTGCAGCTCTGGGACAGCGTCGATTTCAAGATGTCCTATTTTTTCGCCACCTCCATCTTGGGCAGGCCACTTCGAACGAGCTCCTGAAGAATTCGCAGTTTTTTTCAAGTGAGAGTGCATGGTGCGGCCGCTTCCTTTTCACTGGGCTGAAATAACACCGTAATCCACCGCACTTAGCCACACAAATAAGCTTACCACACAACTGATTCGCCGACTCGGCTCCCACAGCCACGTCGAGTGAAAATAGCTACTGAATTGGCTTGTTTCGAGGTGTTGTCATGGTTGTGAGACTACCTTTGGCCTGAACGAGTCTATGCTGTGTTTAGATGCTCCGTCTATGCGCCGCTTAGAGTCTATGCTCCGTCATTTGCGCCGCTTAACTGTAGGTGACCAGTAAGAACTGTTTCGATTAACCGGTGAATTTTACTTTGCAACTCGTAAAAATCCAGCCACATGAGCCCATTTAGTTCCATTAATGAGGCATTTTCATTTAAGCGAGTTTCGTTTATTGGGGTCTACTGTATTTGGCATCACTGAAAAAAAAAAAATGGCTGCACTCATTGTAGCTGGTGTCCTCTGCTTTGAGTTTTTCAAGTCTTCATCATGCATTGTGTAAGCCCTAAGTTGTGAACTGACACCAGTACTACACTTAAACCTCGATATAAAGAACCCTGATATATAAAAAAAAAACATTGGTTATAAATTCAGAATAGTCTTGTAATAGACATAGTGTATTGCAAACACCTTTATAAGAAATTTTTGGATTTAGTGAACTTCTTTTTTGTGTAAGATGCAACTTTGTTGTAATGAAGTTTGAGTGTATTTGCTTTCGATTAAGGGGCTGATGCTTTGGCATCAATGTATGTGTGACTATATTGCACTAGTTCCACTAACCGTTATTACATTCTCGGTGCACTAGGCTTAGCAGGCATGTCTAAACAAACAGCTGATCTTGCAAATAACGGCAAAATGGGCCTGATGCCTCAGCATGAAATGGCACAAAGCGATATCTTATTTCTCCTTGCAAGTTCGGCATGTGTCTTGCTGTGATGTTGATTTGTAACCGCAGTTACCGGTGCTTACTGATACAGCAATTAAAGACATAAATGTGAAAAATATATCAAGTATAGATGTGCTGTAACATATGCCAAACAAGTGAAGAGGTCTCAAATCTGCCAATTCGTAAAGCAACTTTATCTGGATTCATGTTTTGCTGCGCAAGCGTGTGGCTTGCTTACACCCCTTAATCTTGGTATTGCTGAACGGTGGTCGTGAGCTGTAGTATAGGTTCAAAAGGGCAATGCACTCGACCTATAGTTTTGTTCACTGCATTCCTCTTGTGGTCCTGTCTTATTTGCTCTAATCTATTTCAAAGGTACAGCAACGTGCAAACGAAATGTGCCAAAGGAACCCGTTTTCATCATTTCCCATTTTCCCCATCTAGGAGGGCCTCACGGCACTGCAAGACTCCAGTCTTGTTGAACTGGAGGCCGACGGTAATGGGGATGCCCAGATCGAAGCTGACGGCGAACACGGAGGCGAGCCGGAGTCTAGCTCGAGCGAGGAAAGTGACGACGACGAGGACGGCATGGACCCGCTGCACACGGGCGTGGGTGAAGAGTTCCGGGCACTCAGTGTTCGCCATGCCCGGCAGTTACAGCTTACCCTGGGTGGCGCCAGTGGAAATGGTGCAGCCACGGACAGTTCGCTGCGTGAGGCCTCCGAGATTGCGTCGCTGCTGCGTGAACTCGAGAAGTTGGAGGAATCTGATGCCGATGCTGCGGTCTCCGTCATTGTTGGTGCCGGCGACGCGGTGACAGCCGTGTTTTTCCAGACGGGTGCTATGCGGCGATCGCTGCGCCAGTTCCCCGAGCTGCTGCTCTTCGACAGTGGCTACACGTTTGCCGCCATGGTGACGGGGCCAGGGGGACGGCCCCGGTTCTCGCTCGCCTCCTGGAGCGGCCACGATGCGGCCGGCCTGGGCTGCCCGTTTGCCTTTGCGCTCGTCATGCGGCCTGTGCGGCTTGTTGTCGGTCTTTTGATGAGTGTGTTCACACAGGCCAACCCCGTAGCCTCCCAGGTGCGGCTGCTGCTGCTGGGCAAAGAGCAGCTCAAGCTACAGGGCCTGCGGAACTTCTTCGACCAGGCAAGCACCACGCTGCTGTGTCACTACCATGTCATTCGGTGAGAGCTCTCCCTTCGTTGTGCCGGTGCGGTCGTAGGCATGCTCCGGATATTAGAATCCGCTCAATGCATTGGCCAGAGTCGCAGGCGTCTTTCAGTTCAGCATCTATTAGTTAAATAAACTAACAAAGTGCCATTTCTTACATTTTCTCTTACACAGGACTGCAAGTGTTTACGCATTGATAAAGCAAGCAGTGTGTTTACGTTTGCTCTTTGCTTTTTACAGGTAATGTCTATTGTAAACAGGAAAGGATACAATGAACAAAAAAAAAAAAACAACTTGAAATTTTAAATTACTGTCACCCACATCATATGCTGGTATAACATCAAAATAGTGCATGTATCAACACGGAAGCTAAGGAACGGCTTAGGCAACGTAAAGGACAAGTTGTCCTGCAAAAATTTTACAAGTGGTTTATATGCCATAGGCTGCCAGGATTGTGATAAGCAGTACATCAGTTAAAGCGGTGGCTTAAGAAAAGAGTCAAACGACGCTAATATGACGTCAGAAAACAGCATGTGGCTTCGATTGCCCTCGCTGAACTTGTGGAATCAACAGGCCACGAAATTGAATGGTGAAGTGTGCAAGTTCTGGCCATAGAGGAGAAGCTTGCAGTCATGCTTTCTCCTGGAATTTATGCACATACAGATGAGTGTGCAGACGTTGAACAGGATTGACAAAATGCTTCCGACAATATACTCTCGCTGCTTACGTCATGTACTTAGGCGTACTGAATATGCTGTGCCTTTCTTATGGCTTTGATTGTGTTGTGTTCCAAGCACCCCTGTGTCACGAGCGGAGAGCGCCGGTCACCAGCAGAGGGATATTCGACGAAACGTCGAGCCGGTGCATCACACCAGTCAGCAGTCAGGTCATTCCACGTCTAAGGCGAAATCAAGCAGAAAGACACAGCGCTGTTGGCGATGCGACGACATGCACGATCCCCAGGTATGTCGATACAAGACAGCGACCTGCAATTTTTGCCAAAAACTGGGACACATTGAAAAGGCATGCATCTCAAAGCGCAAACAGCTCGGACCGAAGACTTCAGTGCAACGGAACAACAATGTCGACGCACAGGAGGGCCAGACGCAAGATACAAGCCGAACAGCACTAACATCATCGGCACTATATGACTTAAACGCCGTTGTGAACCTTGGAACAAGACCGAAGATTACAACTGAAATTATGGTACACCAGCGCCCTATCAGGTTTGAGGTGGATTCCGGAGCAGCATGTACGCTCATCAGCGAGGACACTTTTCGCGCTACTTGGCGTGAGAACGCGCCAGCTCTCCAGCTAGACGACATGCAGCTGAGAACGTGGTCCGGACATTCCCTTCCACTGCTGGGCGGTGCCAACGTAGACGTGTACTACAACGGGCAGACCCATCAGCTCCCCTTGCTAGTCGTCCACGGTTGTGGATCAAGCTTTTTAGGACGAAATTGGTTCACCCCCCTTGGAGTGGTCATTGGCGGAGTTCACCACACACCCAGTTATCCGTCAGTGGAGCAGCTTCAAGATAAGTACAAAGTGGTTTTCTCCGAAGAAATACCAGGGAACAACGGACCTCCAGTCACACTGGAGCTGCGGGAGGATGCGACGCCGAAATTTTTGAAATCTAGGTCGGTGCCTTTCACCCTACGAACGTCAGTCGAGAATGAGCTTGACCGACTGCAGGAAGAAGGGATCATCGAACCGACGCAACATGCGGAATGGGCTACACCACTCGTTGTCGTCCAAAAGGAAAACGGTACCCTACGCCTCTGCGGAGACTACCGGAGCACTGTCAACCTGGCGACAAAAGCATCTTCCTACCCACTGCCGACACCGGAAGAGGTTTTTAGCACGCTTCGTGGTGGAAAAATCTTCAGCACCTTGGACTTGACACAAGCCTACCAGCAGCTGAAGGTGAGCGAATCAACGTCTGAACTGCTCACGATAAACACTATTAAGGGTCTTTACAAAGTTAAAAGGCTACCATTCGGAATATCTGCAGCGCCAGCAATCTTCCAGAAATTTATGAAGTCTACACTTAGCAGGATCCCAGGTGCTTGCGTCTACTTGGACGATGTTATTGTCGGTGGCGCTTCCAATGAAAAGCACACAGAACGCTTGGAGCTCATTTTGGAAAGGCTAGCAAATGCTAATTTGCGCATCAGTAAAAAAAAATGTGTTTTTGCGGTGCCTGAAGTGAAGTTTCTTGGACATCAAATTGACGTGCAGGGTATCCATCCCACTGAAGACAAAGTGCGTGCAATCACCGAAGCACGAGCGCCTACTAACGAGCAAGAACTGCAGTCGTTTTTGCGGCTATTGACTTTCTACGACCGGTTCTTAGAACATCGAGCTACAGTGGCCAACGATCTATATCAGCTCCTGCAGAAAGAAGTCCCATGGACTTGGTCGCCACGCCACCAAGAGTCATTTGTTGTCCTTAAGCAACTACTTCGCAAGTCTACTGTTCTGCGACACTACGACGAAAGGAGACCCCTACTTCTAGCCTGTGACGCATCACCATACGGAGTGGGAGCAGTCCTCTCCCAATTTGACGACCAGGGACGGGAAGCCCCGATCGCTTTTGCTTCGCGCACCCTATCGCAGGCAGAGAGGAATTATTCCCAGCTAGATAAAGAGGGACTTGCCATCGTCTACGCAGCAGATCACTTTCGGCAGTACATTACCGGCAGGAAAGTGACTTTCATAACAGATTACCGGCCCTTATTGGGTATTTGGGTCCCCAGAAGCCAATGCCACAGAAATTGTCGCCGCGAATGACACGATGGTGCATCAAGATGTCGGCGTACCATTACGAACTCGTACATCGCACTGGGAAGAAACACCAGAACGCCGACACACTAAGCCGCCTGCCGCTAGACACCACAATAGATGAACCACCCCCGCCGGGTGATATACTCATGTTCGAGGCGCTGCCGAACCCTCCGCTAACAGCTGACACGGTAGCAGCATCAACGCAGGAGTGCACTGTCTTGAAGGAAGTCTACGCAGCTATACAAGAAGGCAACGTACAGAAGCTAAAGGGTGAACACTTCAACGCTTACCGCAAGCGAGCTGCGGAGTTGAGCACTCATCGCGGTTGCGTCTCCTTGGGACCAAGAGTTGTAATTCCAGCGGCACTTCGCGAACAGGCCATGTCGCTTGTCCACGCAGGTCATCGAGGCATTGTTGCCATGAAAAAGTGCGCCAGAAGTTATATGTGGTGGCCTGGTATCGACCATGATATAGAATTAACAGTTCACGATTGCCAGCCTTGTCAATGCAACCACAGAAGCCTGCCAAGAGCCCCTATTCCTGAATGGGAAAGACCAGACACGCCTTGGCACACCCTGCACATTGATTTTGCTGGACCTATCGAAGGGTGTTTGTTCCTAGTGGTTGTAGACGCATACACCAAGTGGCTGGAGGTAAAACAAATGGCTACAACGACATCGGCAGCAGTTATCGACACTCTGCGGTCGTTGTTTGCAACGTTTGGCCTACCGCGCAAGGTGGTCTCGGACAACGGCACTCCGTTTGTGTCCACGGAGATTCTCAAGTTTTACAGCGACAACGGCGCCTCGTCTGTTACATCAGCTCCTTACCACCCGGCTACGAATGGACAAGCCGAGCGATACGTGGCTGAGCTAAAGCGCGCCCTTACTAAAGACCAGACTGGGACAATGCAACGCCGCATCGCGCGCTTTCTCTTCAGACAGCACAACACTGTTCAAAGCACTACCGATCAAACACCAGCGAAATTGATGTTCGGACGAGAAATGAGAACCCAGCTGACAGCAATTGTCTCGGAGCCCTCAGCGAAAGCACCTGTCGGAGGAAGAAAAGCTCCCGCATAGCAGGAGAATTGAAAGTGGACAGCGCATATACGCCCGCCAGTTCCACAGAAAGCCCGGCTGGGTTGAAGCGACGGCACTCAAACGCATAGGTTTGCGGTCATGGCTCGTCGACATTGGTGGAAAAGCCACACGCCGCCACCTTAATCAGCTACGCCGTTCAGGTAATTTGCCAAAGGAACCTCCCATTCAAGCAGTCACCTCGACGGAAGCTTCGTTCCACTTAGCCTGGCATCTCGCACCAGATGAATCAGCACCGCCGCCCGCCGGCCCTGAACACAAGAGAAACGACACCCAGAGAGCGGAGGCTTCTCTTCCTAGTGCGTCCGTCCACTGCGCCCACGGCGGCCTCCAGATCGCTTCCAAGAGACAATCTAAGGAGGGAGGAGATGTTGGTTCCAAGCACCCCTGTGTCACGAGCGAGCCTCCGAACCCGCGAAGGACCGGATGCTGAAACTGCTTCCAGATGTTGACTCCTCCCCTTCCCCCGCTCGGCGCAAACGAGCCACCGCTCGTTTCCCCAGGCAGTTCGGCCGCCGCCTCCATCCGAATAGGAATAAAGTTGTTTTTAACCGTTCGAGGCTGTCTGAGCTTTTTGGACTACCGCGACCAACGCGTATGTCTATGGGCCGACGACAACACCGGACATAACAGATTGTAAATAAGGCTCTTGTATGGGGGGCTGCAACGCCAGTAAGCTTTGTAGTTATCTTTGTGTTCTTTTTTTGTCTGTGTATACTTTCGCGCTTACACTATGCATTTTGGCGGCCAGAAGGGTTGCTGTCACACTGGGATTTCAGAGGCAATTCAGCAGTTATTAGGCCCAAGAAGTTGGAGTGGCGCTGCCTGGTGGGAGGCTTGAATGACGTCACGGCACGGACTCTTCGAATCTTGCTGTGGCGCGCGTAGACATAACGCGCGCCCGCTTCAAATGCTGTTGTGCTGCCAGCATTCACTTTTTGCTTGTCTCACGGTTTAAATAAATGACGGAAGCAGCATCGGGGATGTTCGTGGTAAAACAATAAAAAACCGAACTATTTTTTTTCAGTAGAATTGCCAACGTGGTGTCTACTCTCCAGCGTAAACGTCTTAATGAGGTTTGTTCCGGTGCTGCACTGCTTACTTCGAAGATGGGTTCGATTCTTAGC